TTTTTTCTCAGCTCACAGCTCGCATAGCGTCGTGTGAACGCTCTCTTCAACGACGATCCGTGTCGTTTTCGACACGGAGCGTTTTCGACCCGAGTTCCTTCGCTCCGTGTGAACGCGGCTAATATTCTGCTATATTGTCACAATTATTATTTAATATCACATTAATTTATCTCGATTATGCATCGTATTTTTTTAAATCTCAATGACACGTAGATGCGTGGAAAAGAAGATTAATGATTATTATTTAAATGTGAATCCTGTGGGTACGATTCTACCCATACGTATGTCTTTACCGGCATGCGACATCCCCATGTATACATCTGTCCACGTGCTTCTACCTCTACCCTCGCCACAAGTTACCATCTCGCTTCTCACTATGTCGCGAGAAGCACCTCATACGACGTGAAACAGTCGTGAAGCCTAGTCGGGTTACCTTTACCTTAGCCCGACCAAGCTCTATGACTGTTTCACGTTCACTGTCGCCGCGTGAGAAGCGAGAAGGTAACCTGTGGATCTACCCTGCCTAAAGCAAGACTACGGTGTGCTACAATGTGTGTTTGTATCAGGTGCACGGACTGCGTCTAGAGCTGGTGAAGAGCAAGGAGGTGATAGTGAAGCTGCAGCAGAAGGAGCATGCGATGATCGAACGGTAAACTATAGTACATTAGACGCACGATCAGTGGTGATCGATTCATGATACTCTCAGTATAGATACTTGCAGCGCGATCAATCACTAATGTATGGAGACTGCTTGCTCTAACAGTATTTATACCAGCCGCGTACGAAACTTATGTGTGTAGATATGCGTAAAGTTAGAGCAAAGTTTTTCTGCGATGGCTTTCACAGATCAGTTGCATAGATAAGCTGCAAGATGAATAAGATGCATAGATAAGATACCGATAAGATGCCGACAAGATGCCGAGAAAGACTTTTTACCGCGTCAGAGTTTACAGACGATAAATACGCTACGCGAGCATCCATGCAGAAGTGAAAAATCCAGAAGTGAAACCACAGGCACTTGGACCGTTTCAATAATAAAATGATGGTTAATAAATACAACTTGTCAGTAGTACTACTAGCCCTACCAGTACCAGTATTCAGTAAGTCTTAATGTTTGATTTGACCTAATAACTTCACTTCAACACCGTCCAATACACCGCTGCAACACATAGCCCGCACGCCATTGCGCATGCACAAATGCACAGTGATATAGGAGTGTGTGAGATATTGTGACATGTATTATTATTGATTGAGACGTGCTGCCATCGGGTGGTCATCTTTGTAACTTTTGCAATGTTCTGTTGTTTT